TCCTTAGAAATACGTCCAGTTCACCTCATTATCTTGAAATACCCCTTAATTAGTCTAACAGCCCCAATTATAGGCCCACATCTTCATCTAATTTGGGCCTTTTAACCTAATTATAAATTTCATACGTAACATATTCAATGTTGAAACGAGAGACAATATATATATATATATTTTACATCAAAAAAATAAAATAAAATAACCTAAAAAGAAGTAGAAATCAATGTTGAACAACGATCCACAAGAAGACCCACCTAATCAAAATAAGAATAATCAGAGAGAATTAAGAAAGAAACTAATAGAGAGATGTAAGTCACACAATAGTTTGCCCTTAACAAAACAAAATAAATAATGAGCAAATAAATAAAGTAGTTGGTAATACGAAGTGTAACCATGAAATGACTAACAAGATGAACTTGTATAAACAATGTCAAAATGTGTGGCAGCCAAATAAACCAAATTCTCAATATGCTGATAAAATAGAGAATAATCTTCAAGAAAAAAACTTATATAACAGTGTAAGATGACAAGTAACATCAAGATGTGTCAAAGGCATCTTATAGTAAGTGAGGTTGATATAAGAAAGGAGATCAAAAGCATACTTGATCTAAAATATATAATACCATCAGAACTGTCAAAAATCTCAATATTGAAAAAGTACCAAAATTTTCAAAAACCCTTCATATCAAAATGATAGTGGAAGTAGGTTTTTATGATCATATCATCATAAATAAATAAAACAATTATCCTTAAAGCAATATTATGGAAATAAGAGTCTAGTGTGCAAAATAGAAAGCAAAACTAAATTGTAAAAGAACATAACTTAACTTGGCAAAATGAGAATAAGACACTTGCTTAAACTATAGAGTGCTTTGTAATTTACCGACCACAGAAAGTGAAGATCAAGAACATAATGTTTTATAATAAAATATATTACTCATAGCAAGCGATCCTTAGTATCCAACTATAAAAATGACCATCAACAAATGAATACAATGGAGATTAAACATCAAACAAAGATAAATCGTATAATAAAAATAAATATTTTCTCATAATCAATCACATTCATATAATTATCATTTTGAAACGGGACGTGCCTTATAATGCTCAATAGACCTATTAAAGTGATTTTATTTTATTTTATTTTTATTAGAAAGACTTATTTGCAACCAATAGATACTTTATCATATAAAATAAATTATTAGATCCGATGTATGTATTATAACATTCCGGTCAGCTCAAGTCGGAGTATCACTGTCATACCATATTAGAAGGTTCATTCATTCACTAACGAGCCTTGTATTGTGACGCTAAAGTTAAAATATCCAACACATGCAACTAAAAAGAAACTTAAAAAATAAAGTGCAAACTTATCACATAAATAAATAAGGTTTTCAAAGTTATAAGCAAAAGAAATAGCTCTAAAATAGTACTCTCTCTCTCTCTTTTGAATGTACTCTTGAGGTTTTATAGTAGATTAAAAAATAATAATATTTTATTAGTTAATTAAAATGCGTAAAATATTTTACATTTTTGTCATTTGACTTTATGTATAAAGTAATTTTATGTTTGTAGTTTAAGAAAAAATTGAAAATATTTTGATATTAGAGTATGATTATTTTTATTTAAATAATAAAAAAAGATACTTTTGAATAAAAACAAACAAAAATAATAAAAATTGTACTTTGTATTGAAACGGATGGAGTATAGTTTATAAGACATTAACAAGAACTTCAAAAGCATCATAAGAGATGAGACAATTCTATTTCCCCCAATGGATCATGCTACGTGAATACATTATTTAGACTTAGTTGGAGTACCCTCGTCTACAAAAAATTGTAAAACGGAGATCAGCGCAACAATTGAGTGAATACAATGAGTAAATTAATGCATAGATATGCCAAGACTCACATGTCAATATTACAACATCTTTTGTAAATGATAAACTAAATGAAATTACACCTAACACATAATGACAACCCAAACACACAAATCTTTTAGTGCATCTCTTGTATCTCTTTTTAATTCTCATGAACACATCACAGAGAAAACTCCACTAAGTCTTAACTAGGGCCAACTCGACCGATTTATCAATCTTATTACTTCGTTTCACACAAATACACATAGCAAATATAAAATTAATTATGAAAATTTCTTTATCTGTTAATTAAAATGATGCACAATTTATTTTTGGTAAAAATTTTATTTACTTATAATTTTATTATCATTACTTGAATAAATAATGTTAATCAATTACTTTTTTTTACTCTGTTATTTTTTATTAATTTTTTAATAAAGTTCACGTAATACTAATTTTATTCTTTTTATATATTTTACTTAGATATTAAAATTCTAGCCTTATTATTCTAATGTGAAAATTTCTATTTCATTGGTATTATATTATTTTGGATTTATTTAATTATTGTTTTCGCTAAAAAATATTTTGTATTTTGTATATGAAATAATCAATTTACAATAATTATTATAATTTTTTTTAATAAAATTAAAGAAAAAAACAAAAACAAAACGAATATATGAATGACTTATAAAATATGTTGATACCTACGTCGTCAAGGGAGATGGATGATATCAAAATTATGTTGGTCTAGTGGTTTGCATTCCATACTGAGTTTGATTCTAAAAGTGAGTATGTGTGTTATTTAAAAAATAAATAAATAAAAATTATTAAAGGTAAATATATAAGATGACATTCTATATATTGCCTATGAATTTCAATTTTCCTCAACAATCCTACGATGAAGAAGATCCGGGCCTCCAAACTCCCTTCCTCAGGGTAACCACCTCTAATACCCGAAAGAAATCCCGCCAAAATCTCCCATCCATCACGTTTTGCCCTTTTACTCTTTACTGTTATTCTCTACTACAGCGGCACTTCTCACTTTAATCCCAAGAAACTCCAATAATTCCTTAATCGCTCCAATAATTCTGCGACGGTCGCCGGAAACCACTCAATTGGTAATCCAAAGACTCCTCATAATCGAGATATTAATAATAAGAATCTTGCTCCGATCGCTGCCGGAGATGATAAGGGATAGAGTGAAGAAGCAGTTATAACTGGTATGAATTGCGACTTGTTCACCGGCCAGTGAGGGAGGAATATTGGTGAAGGACCATACTACACGAACGCGACTTGTCCCGCAATCCCGGAGCACCAAAACTGCCTCAGAATCTGATGGTGTGGATGATATATACTCTGATATGTTTGTCGATGTTCAAGATGACGTTCAAAGGGGAAGAGACGCGGAAGGACCAACCGATCATACCGAAACTGATATTAATGACTAGAACAGTGATGGTTGTAGTGAGGAGGAAGGGTGACTACGGACTCCTGTAGATTCAGATAGAAGACGTGGTCCTTGCTACAATGAGATTACTCCACATATCTAAAACAAGTGGACTAGGAAGACCGAATTAAAATTTATGAACCGGGATAAATTTAAGGAAGCTCTTAAGAAGTAGGTTGTTCGAAGAAGTTGAGATTTGCGCTACATCAAGAATGAGCATAATAAAATTTCAGCGGTATGTAAAAAAGGGTGTGAGTGGGGCATACACGTGTTGTGGGGCTAGGGCCGTCCCTGGGCCTGGGCGAAAGGGGCGACTCGCCCAGGGCCCAATCTAAATTGGGGTCTATTATTTATTTATGTTATATATAAATATTATTTGACATTAATGTATTTGTACATGAGCATGGTTTGGTGATTAAGTTCTATTTATATTATTTTTAGGGTTTTTTATACATTAAAAAGAATTAGACAAAGTTAATATTAATAGTATTAGTGATATTTTGCATATAAAAATATTAGAAAATTTATTTTATTTAATTATTTATATTTTATTATAGATAAAAAAAATTATTATTTATACATATTTATGGGTCCCTAATTAATGTTTTAAGATTGTTAATATTAATACTATTTTATCTAAAAATTCTAAAAAATTATTTTATTTAATAATTTATATTCTATTATAGGTAAAAAATGAAGTAGATCATTTATATATATTTAGAGGTTTTTTATTTTTGTTTTAATTATTTTTTTACACTAAAAAGATAATAAATTTTAGATAAAATTGTTATTATTATTATTATGCAAAATTATCAATAACATCTTTATGATTTCGAAACTCAGTGTAAATCCTCTATATACAATATGACATAAACTTTTTATACTTTAAAAAACGTTTCATTAAACTCATTTTTATATTTTTTTTATGTTGAGAAGATGATTTTTCATCTATATTTTTTATACGACGGAGTTTCATATCGCGTTTGTTAAAATATAAGGGAGTCTTACGCAATTTTTAAAATTTATGCTAGAAAAAATATATTTTTTTTATTTATATTTTATTATAGGTAAAAATTATTATTATTATATATATATTTAAGGGCCTCTAACTTTTATTTCACCTCGAGGCCTTCGAAAGTCTGGAACGACCCTGCGTTGAGCATGCCATACGGGTGTCACGCAGGCCATCTCCGATGCTGGGAGGATCAAATTTGCTAAAAATTTTCACTCGAGAAACTATTTTAAACCAATTACAAAATTAAAACAATAAAATATGGTCCGTTATAGAACTGAAAAATCAAATTTTTTTTAAAATATAAATAAATTACTAAACAACCAATATCTCACTAACTAGCTTAAAAACACAACACCACCACCACCGATACAGCAGGACTTTATCGTGCTTAAATTAAATAATTTCGGTACCACTAGTACAGTATCCATACAGTTTCTTTTTAAATTTCTTATTTATAATTTTATTTTTTTAATTAGTTAAATTATCGTGTATACATTAATTTTGCTTTTATAAAAAGCAAAAGTCTATTGAAACCCACGTATCACATCACATTGACACATTCACATCCAAACAAAGCATGCCCAAAAAGTGCATACCAATTTATTTAATTCTACAAAGAAACCAAAACAATATGACAAAAGAAATCTTTTAACAAATTACGTGATGTGACATGATCATTTAAATAAAAATTTAAAATTGAGATGATAGTAAAACACACACACCCATATCAATCAAACATATGTGGTAATTCATTTAATGGCAACAAACTCTGAAATGTATATTTGAAATTTGTGAAGCCTAACTGAACTTGGACTGAACTAAATGCAAATGAATAAATATATATATATATATGTATGTATGCTCTTCAAAGAACACAGCATACCTACCATATGAGACTCCAATGTTGTAAGAAAAAGGCTTGTTTCCAAAGGCAAAAAGCATGAATGAATATGGCTCAAGACTACTTCATTTCATTTCTTAGAAAATAAAATAGAAGAAATAAAATAAAAATACTGGCCTTCGCCGACGACCGTCCCGTTCGTTCGTCACCTCGGGTGTCCGAACCTGTCCCTTCCCCTCGACTTCGAATTAAGACACGCTGCGAGCCAAGGAAACCGCGCGCTGTTGTTCTTGCGCGAAGAACGCAGATGAGTCCCATGTTTAGCCTGTATTCATAAGCACACGACAACGATCATCGAATCGCATTAATTAACCGGAAAAGGTGTTTACTTGTGAGGTTTTGGTTTTGAATTTTGATTTTGAATAATAAAATCTTGAATTGAGATAGTTGTTTTGATGTGATATAAATATGTATTGATACGAATTTTGAATACAAAATTAAATTTTAGTGTAATAAAATAAATAAAAATTAGTTGTTTGATTTGATATTTTTGAAAGGAAAATAAAATTAGAATATCGTAAAATCAGGATAAAATCTCACAAGTAAACAGAGCCGTAAAACCCTGATTGTTTTACCTTTCCCCTTCGCGGATTTCTTGCATTGTTCCAGCATAAGCAACTCGAACCACCCGCCCCCGACTCATACCCCCTGCATCGAACAAACTTGTTAGATTACGGCGAAAATTCCTTACAAAGCGGAGGGATTGGTTGTAATAGCTACGAGGTTTGATGCTCACATGTTGTCCCGGTTGCAATTGTTGTTTCCCAAGCTGATGTTGTTATGCAGCAGGCTCGGTGAGATCGGGAAATGGTTGATTCCTTTAGTAGTCTGTTCTTCCGGAGGGGCCGTCCCGTCGGCGAATCTCCGGGCATTGATTTTGTCGCTTAACGGCGGTGTACCGGAATTCCGAGCCTCGACTTCGTTAGGAGGACATGTGACGTCCTGCGGCAGGACTTGGTTCCGCTCGGGTTTGGCCCCCGGGTGGGCTTTCTCCATCGTCTGCAGCCAAGCTGTTTCGAGTCGCTGCTCGCGGATGATCGAGTCCATTCTTTTTGCGGGTGCACTAGCCTTTCCGTCCTTTGAACTGTTGGTGTCGATTTTACCGGGTACGATGGGTTCGTCGCCGTCGGGAGCGTTTGATCCGGTCGTTTCGTTTTCCTGACGCAACTTTCCCGAATCCGGCAACAGTATGATCTTGACCTCCACATTTTGTCGTAAAACAATTTCGAACGCGTTCGTTATGCTGCTGAGGAAGCCTTCCGCCCTTCTCTTGATATTCCGGTCGTCGAACGCAATGTGCGCGACGAAACTGCCTGCACGGAGGAAGCACGACGATAAGCTACATTGCGTTTAGTTCCGAGATTTTTCGGAAAACGGTTTCACTTGCCTTTCGTTTCGGTTATCGACACGAGTCGTCCATGGGAATGGAGGAGTTGCCTAAGGGTCTTGGAATGGCACTTGTCGATGGACTGAAGCCAGGTTTCCGTCAACATTTCCGAGTTCGCGCATCTCAAAGACATCCTTGTACCTGCTCGAACGAGATTATCTTTGCTCGAAGAATTTCGCTGAGAGGTTTTCGAGAAGGATCTGTGAGAAGTCGATTCTTCGGTGGTCAACTGATTGTCGATTCTGTGTTTCTGAGCAATCGTTTCTCTGAGTGTGTTCGAATGATCCCCGTCTGCCGTCTTAGAGCTTTCCCGTCGGCTGCTTCCAGAGTGGGATAGTTCCGGCGACGGCATCGAACCTAACTGCAGTAGCGTTGCGGTGAACCACGTCGATCGTTCGTTCGAAACTCTCAGGTGCTTTTCAGCGTCGGAGAGAAGTGTCAGGGCGTGCTTCAGCCTGCCGAGCTCCCTTTCCGACACTAACAGAAAAAATCAATGAATTATCAGCCAGATTGACGCAAATTACACAACGTAAAATTCGGCATATACTCACAATTTCTCCCGCCGAGGAAAGAATCGAGCTTTTTGTCGACGTTCGAGTACGTTCCAGCAATAATATCCACAATAAGCGTCGCCAGTTGAGACATGAGAACTATCGGGTCGACTCCAGAATCCAACAATTCTCGAGCCCGTATCACCGTCTCTGTTGCATTCGACGACATGGCTAACTCCAGGAGATCGAGTAATTTCTCGTCCGAAACAACCCCAATCTACAGATGTTTACAAGAACAGAAAAATCTTTATAAAACGTAGATAAAAAAAAAAAAAATCGAAGGGGAGCGAACAAAGAAGAAAAGTATACTCACAAGCTCATTCACCAACGAGACCGTGATTCTTTTCCCGAACAAGCTCAACTGATCAAGCATGGTCTCCGCATCGCGCAGCGACCCATCTGCATTCGAGGCGATCAACTCCAAAGCATTCGAGTCGACGTCCAATTTCTCATCATCCGCGATCTTCGCCAAACAAGCCACAATGTCGCCGTGGCTGATCTTGTTGAAGATATGTTTCTGACACCGCGAAAGGATCGTGCGCGGCACGTTGTCAACATCCGTCGTAATGAGTATGAACACAACATTAGGGAGCAGTTTCTCGAGAAGCTGAAGAAACGTCAGCCAAGTCTTCGACGGCAGCAAGTGGCACTCGTCAATGACGAAAACCGTGAACTGCAAAACGGCGGAGAGGCTTTTCAGATGATTCTTAATGCTGTTCACTCCCTTTTTGTTCGAGCCATTCACTTCCACAAGATACCGACTCTTCCCCGATATGAAATCCGCGCATTGCCGGCAGACGCCGCACGGTTTATTCTCGTTAGAGCCAATGCAATTCAGGGCAGCCGCGAAAATCCTAGCCGTTGAAGTCTTTCCCGTTCCGCGAGGCCCCTGGAAGAGATAAATCGGGGCGATCCTCCCTCGGGAAATCGCACTCATAAGAGACTGAACAACTATGTTCTGGCCGATCACTTCGTCGAAAAACATCGGCCTGTATTTATGGCTCAAGCTTTGGGCATTCTCCGGGGAGCTTTCGCCGTTCGTCGCTATGTTCTCCAACCCTTCTTGGCTCCGGCAGCTCGACGACCACCGCCTCCCGTCAAGCCGACTCAAAGCTTCCAAATCGAGCTCCCCGAAATTCTCGGAATTTTCATCTTCGCTACCAACGGACGATCCTCGATAGGCGTTGGTAAGAAGAGGGACGCGGTATTGGCTAGCGATCCGAGAATTGGTCAATCCCCTCTTGTTCGAACCGAGAGAATGTCCTCTCCGATGACGTCCGCAAAAAATGGCGCCTCCTCTCCGACGTAGCGTATCCGAGAGCGATGGAGAGCAACAACTTCCATACCCACCTCGTGACTTCGGAGTCGACTTTCTCGACCAACAACAAGAGATTCCGCATCCCTGACGCCCCGGAAAATCGAATCGATCGTCGACCTCGTCATCGGCGTCATTCAACGATCCCGTCGCCACATCCCATGATCCGGCCACACTCGGATTCCTAACGCCGTACCGGTTGTAAGAACTCGCCGACATTGCAGGCGTGCTATGCGAAATCGAATCGTCCCCTTTCCTAACACCCCTCGATACCACTTTCGTCGAAGAACACGGCAAACCGCTCTTCTTTAGCCTCACGAGCAACGGCGAAAGCGTCGACTCCCTCCTCAAATCCTCCGAATTACTATAATCGTCGGTTTCATCCGATCGATCAACTAAACCCTCGAGAACTCGCCGCTGGCCTACGTTCAATTTGCTATTTAGCTTCAAACCTACACTACAGCCATTGCCCCTCCTCGACTTCCGCCTGACCGCCGCCACCGCGGCTGCGTCCCGACACTTTAAGATCCTCTCACTCAAACATGTATCACTCTTGGAATCATCTGCGGCGGCTGCGCCGCCGCCTACACTTAAATCAGAACTATTTCCCGCGGCGGCGTAATCCTCACTGCCGCCGCGGTCGGATTTCCGGCTCCTCCAATTGTACAGAAACACTTTCTTCTCCTTATCCCTCACAGTCACATTGTTTTTATTATCCACAACGCCATTGCTACCAATGTATTGACTATTATTGTTGCTACTATAATGAGAATAATTACTATGACCATTAATTTGAACTTGCGGAAACTGCTCATCAGGCGAAGAAGTAGAAGTAGATGAAGAAGCAGCAGCGTTACCGTTACCGTAGTGATGGTGGCGGAGAGATCTCGCGGAATTGATCGGCGACCGCCACGAAGTGGTGGTGCCGGGATCGCGCAACGCCCGCGCCGCCTTCCGGATTTGCGTCAGTTCCTTCTTCAAATGCAGCTTGCTCGGATCGATTCTCCCCCCGCCGCCGGAAACCGCAGCTCCTCCGCCTCCCCCAATCTCCATCGCCGCCGCCGGACTCACTAACCTTCCCCTGCGCAGAGAATGGACAGAATTGGAAAATTAGGCTACAGATCTGAGGGGCTTAGAACTCCATTAATAGGCGGTGGGCAGCTGGCATTAAGAACACACAACGAATCCAAAATTGGAGGTAGGGTTTCGAAAAATCGAAGAAATTACTGCTGCGAAAACGGTGGGTGAATCAGAATTACCCGAAATTACAAAATGTGGAACAATCAGCGGGCAGAGTGGAAGAAGAAGAGCGGGGAAATGTGGGTGAAGATTGAAATGGACATGGGAGGCCGCGCGGAGAATTTTGAGGCTCCAGAAATTCTCGTCTTCTCTTGCAGGCAGCAGTAATTATGATTGGATTTGTTCTTCTTTTCTTGGTCTCAAGAAATACCATTGTCCTTTTCCTGCCGTATCTCTCTTTTCACACTTACATTAAATTTATTTCATTTTATTGAATTGAATATAATAATTATATTCCCTAAAATATTATTTCTAATTACTCACTCGTAGTTACCGTCTATATATACATTTCAAATTATTTTACAAATATTATTAGTGTTTGTATGTACTTTGGAAATCGTATTATTTTTATTTCTAAATTTAGCTGTATTCAACATTTTTTCAAAATAACGAATGTATTTTTTCACTAAAAAAAATTTCGAAACAGCTTTTAAATTAAAATACATAATATATATTCTATCTATTTAAAAAAATAATGATAATTCAACGTAATATTATTATTTATATTAATAATATTTTCTTTGTTATTTTACATAAAAAAATATTTTAAACTAATAAAAATGGTTTTATGCTGTAATAAATAAATATTAATGTAATATTTTTATCTAAAATTTATTATTAATAGAATATATAAAATAAAATTTTAATTTGATGTTTTTTCAAAAAAAAATTAATGAACAATTTGCCAAAGAACACACCCTAAAAATACAACTCAAACACACCCAATATACATTAAAAATACTAATAGGATTTATATTAATAATAAAACTCTCAATTATATCTAAAAATGAAACATTAAAAAAAAAATTGATTTAACCGTAAGTTGTTGATTTATAATACCCTCTTCGCCCGCTAATTTTATATTTATTTTTTTTAAATTATAAAAGAAAAATTTGCATGTGTAAGAAGTATATAATATATACGTGTCATATTAATTGATATATATTTATTTTTTATTCATGTGCTCTAGGTAAATCATCGGTCGAACTTAATAGTATGTAAATTAAATCCGATAAGACAAGTCATACTAAGAGAATCATGTGTGATATGATCGCATGACGTCACGATCATGAGTCTATCCCCACGCCAACAGGCACTGACGGAACCAACAGTAAAAATTCGAGGGGTGCAAAAGATTTAATGTTGATTCAATGTTGCTTTTTTAATTCATAGTACACTGCGGCAAAAGATTTAAAAAAAAAAATTGGAAAATTTAAATGTTTTAGAAAAAAATTCAATAAAATTACATAAAATTTAATATTTTTTTATTATAAAAATAAAATTTAAAGACTAAAAGTATAAATCAAACGTACAGATAAAATTTTTATAATTTTTTATATTACAAAATAAAAAGTTAAAAGATGCAAATTACTATAAAATACATAGTTTTATTTTTTTTTATATTAAAGGACTGGGGGTCGTTGATACTCCTAGTCTCACGTACTTCCGCCCATACCAATCGGTCATCCTTTACCAGATTTTTTTATCTTTATATTTTAATGATATTGATGTAAATAACACAAGTTTAAGGATCATTGTAATATTGTCAAATTTACTAAAGATATATATATATACACTTTTACTCTAAATATTCACATAATACATTTTTTAACTTTTTTACCTCACACATCACCCATCCGGAAATAGAGAAAGAGAATAACGGATACATGTGTTTGCGTTTAAGCCAATAGTTTTAGTTTCATAATTTTGTGTCAAATTTACTTTAGACGAATGGACTAGCTTCTCACAATACAAATAATTAATTATTTCAACAAAAATCATCTTCAAATATATTAAAATAGATTAAATATTATTTCACATATGATTGAGTTATCCTTTAATATGACATGATTTAAGTTATTTGTTACAGAACATAAACAAAATTGTCCATAAATCCCACGTAATTTCGAAATTCAAAATCCCACGTAGTTTCGAAATTTAACGTAAATTTTCTCTGTACTTTAGAAATTGTATGACGTCCCCTTATATTTTAAAAAACGTTGTATAAAATTTTTGTTATGCAACGTTTTTTAAAATGTAAGAAGATGCCATATAATTTTTAAAGTATTGCAAATTTTAAGATGAGTTTGGAAACCATGTAGGAGTGCTGGACAATTTTGTTTGTAAAATATGCTTATTATATTATTATACTATCTCATTTTGATTTTTTACCTTTTATTATTCTAATTCTTATAATTTTTAGTAAAATATAATATTATTTTTTAAATAAAAATGCTAAATCAAAGCTCAAATTCAAATTTTTTTTTTCTTTAATGGCGCATGTACTCCGATAATTTATGTTGCTATATGAAAATTATTAACATTTTTATGTAAAACTTTAAGGGTGTGTTTGTTTGGGGTTTGGATTTTGAGTTGGGATTTGAATAGTAAAAATTTTAAATTTGAATAATTATATGATGAGATATAAATAGGTGTTGATGTAATATTTTGAATGGAAAAATTGATTTTTAGTATAATATAAAAAATGAAAATTGGGTGTTTGATTTGATATTTTTGAAGGAAAAAAATTAGATGAATAGTGTAAATACAATCCAATCCCCAAACAAACACGAAGATTTGAAAAAAGTTTTAACAAGATTATGATGTTTTTTGCTTATTTGTATTTTGAGTTTTGGAGTAAAATATATTTCTTGAATTTAATGTTGTATATAAAACATTAAATATATATTTATACATAAATATCCACCAGTTTCATTACAAATGACTTATTCTTTTTTTTTTCTAAGATTTCATAAAAGATGATTTATTTTTATTTTTAACAAATTTATTTATTTTAAATATGCTTAATAAATATAAATCAAATTAATTAAATTTATAACTTCTTACGTATAGGATGCACTCAAAACTCTATTATTTCTATTTTTTCCTCGGTAAACAAATAATTTTATTCATATTAAAAACTTCTCATTTTTTATAAAATTAGTTTTAATTTAATTATTACATAAATAAATATATTTTAATTTATTTGCATTATTTAAAATTTTATTATATTCAAAATGATATTCATATTATATATATTTTATTGTGATATAATTATAAAAATATTTTAAATATCAACAATATTAATCATATAAAAAATAATATATATATATAATAATTTATTATTAATAATTTACTAATTTATATTATCTAAAACATACGATGTTGTTAACTAAATGGGTCATCTAACCCGGTACGGAGTGAGTATAATATAGTAAAATTTTTGAAAAAACAATTTGTTTGTTTATTTTTTTATTTGAAATGATAAAAATATAATAAAATTTCATTGTTCTCAATAAATATATATTATTTAATTTCATAAAATATAAAATAAAAATATCATTTAAATCAATTTCAAATTAAAATCTCAAACTCAATCAAAAACCAAACAAAACTGTAAATGCAATAAATAATTTTTCCTAAATTATTTGGAATGCAAAATCTTCCAATTTTAAATGCAAATTCTAAAATTTGAAAAATCATATATAGATAGATGGTAACTATTAGAGTAATTACTTGTCATTATTATTTACTCAATATTATCAAATTATTCTAAATTTTAAATTTTCAAAAGTTAAAAAAATATCAATTTCTCAAGCATCTAATGTTTTCCACCATTCCATGAATGATCATTTAAGAATCTTGGTCCCTTAGAGTATGAATTTCAACAATATTTAGTTAGATGTAATTTAATAAATCTTATCTTTAAAAAAAAAAAAAAAAAAGGCAATTTTTTCATTTTCTTTTTAAAAAATAAGGTGTTAGTGATGTGTATACATTTTACTCCACATATACAATTTTAATATTATTTATTAATAATACTTTTTAAAAAAAAAATTATCATATTGTTTTTGTATATTTTTCATAAAATTCAAACCAAATATTCAATTTTTTGTTATTTAAAGAAAATTAATAATTCAAAACCTCAAACATCTCCAAGGAGATATTTGCAATGAGTATTTTATGTAATAGAAATTAAGCATGCCGCCCGCTAATTATAACCAATAAATAAATAACTTATTTAAAAATAAAATAAGGTTGTGTTTGTTTGAAGGATTTTGATGGATTTCCACTGTTCATCCAATTTTTTTCCCCCAAAAACATCAAATCAAACACCTATTTTTCATTTTTTATATTATACTAAAAATCAATTTTACATTCAAAACATCACATCAAACCCTATTTATATCACATCATACAACTATTCAAATTCAAAATTTTTACTATTCAAATCCCAACTCAAAATCCAAACCTCAAACAAACACACCCTAAATGAATTTATTCAATAATAATATATTACTATTATGAACATAGCAAACCGCATATATCAGAACAACAAACTCAATAATATATACGGCGGCAATTAGGATGCTAAATAATACATAGTGTGCCAACAGATAAAACACGATAATACTAGCACATCATGTATATTAATATACTCCCTCCGTCCATTTACAAGGTTTACATTTACTTTTGGCGCGGTGTTTAAGAAATAATAGTATTTTAATTATAGTGAGTAGTTAAAAGTAGTGTAATGACATTTTTGCCCTTATTTTTTGTGTAAAAGTAATGATGTGATGTAAAGTAAGAGTATTTGTGGAAAAAAGTAGGGTATTTAAGGAAATGTTAATTTTGCAATTGGACGTCCCAAAATAGAAATATGTAAATATTGTAAGTGGACGGAGTGAGTATTATAAACACAATATACTATCTCCGTCCCAGAACTATAGTTTGGGTTGTGTTCAGCACGGGATTTAAGGAATATTGATATTATATTGGTATTGGGTAAAAAGTACGGATAAAAGACTTTTTTGCCATTGTGAGTATATTAATGTAAAAAGTAGTGGCAATTGTGTAATAATAATGAAAAAGTAAGGGTAGTTTTAAGGTGATATGATTATTTATAAAAATGAGACTATTGTTTTTGTACGGATAAAAATGGTAAACATGACTATTGTATTGGGACGGGAGAGTATAATATAGTCTCACACATCATATGCAATATACTTTTTTACGATATATATTGTAATTATAAATAGACAACACATGTCTTTATTACGTGCAACGTAATAAAGAAAATGATGTTTGCATATTTTATGTTTAGTGATTTGAATATATACACACATAAATAAATAATACTCTCTCCGTCCCAATAC